AGATGAACCCCGCCGCTGTCTTACAGCTACTTGTAACTTTTGTCACGTGGCAGTAAAAACAGGGCTGCGCTGTAGTCAGTAGTGTTGACACAAAGAACATGCTCGGTTTTGGTTTCAGTGGTGGTTCCATTCCCTTTCCTGTCAGACCCCCTTATGAGAGCTGATTTTGCTGACAAAGCTGGTAGAAAATGTTTTATTTCTTTACTTGTTTCTTTGTTATTTTTCTGCCTGTTTAATGAGCTTAAACTACTTTCTCCTGCCCCTGCCCGAAACTTGGTTCCACAAATTGAAAACAAAATCTTAACACTAGGCAGAAAGCCCTTTCTTGAGCGAGATCTTATGATTTCTTACTCCCTAAATTGCAACTCTGCGTTGATTCCCCTGGCTGACTGGTGCAACTAGGCAGAGAAGAGGTTATAACGAAGACGTTGAATCAGCCTCGGTTTCGGCCACATGAATACACGTGACTATTGTGCGTATTCCATTAGGGTTAAAATGCATGATTTCTCCCTGTAACAAAGACCAGAAGAAATTAAACAAACTGTACTCGTAAAAGTGATAATCCCTTTGCATATAAATACTCAACCTCCCTCCTAGAAGGATTCTCTTCTCCAAGATCAGTGTTATACAAAAATCTTCCAGCAAAATCCCAGCTCTGGCCCACAGGGGAGCAAGGAAATTAGATCAGATGATGGCCCTTATGATCCTTAAGTGACCATTAAAAATCAACATCCTGAATTCCCTAAGCTAATTTGCAAATGGACACATTTGAATTGCACTTTAGCAAGCTAATGCACGTTTTATGTCTTCACTTTCTTTCATTCATGGTGACCTATTTTGTAGGTCAAAGGAGGAGAAATGCTGCAGATAAAAAAGGGAATTTGCTTGTATTCTTTTTTATCTGTGGTCTCAAGTCTGGCTCCACACATAGCGTTGAATAGACACATGCATGGGTCAGGGTAAACCAACCAGCTTTGCCTTTCTCTGCTGTTGCTGCTTGGTAAGAAATGCTGGAATGTTTGTGTCACAAGGAGAAAAGCAGGGTTTATGCCAGCTGAGAAGGAAGCGTTTGGCCAAGCTCCAAAGTTCACAAGTTTTTCTGTGTACATTTTACAATTTTAGGGAACTGTCCCAGAATCAACACTTGCCTGGGAAATACTTTCCCATCCCACCCTAAACTTCCGGTTAGTTTTCCTACTAACTAGTTCCTAATTTCCTAGAATTTGCAACGTCAAGCCTTTTTATTAAAAAATAAATGGCCAACTGGCAGTAAGTGGGAATTTATCCTTGAATTCACATATTTCATGACTGAACTTAATACTGCCTGCACAAAAGCCTGTTAGGGCAGCACCTAGGCCACAGCCATAGATTAGTTTCCTGAGTGGGAATTCAAGGGGATGTTTGCAAGTTGTTACTGGGTTAGGAAGCACACTGTGTACAGAAATATAGCAATTTGTTTCCTAAGGATGTGCGTGACAGCCTATATGAACATAGTTTTTGAGGCTATATAGGAATATTTTAAAAAATCATGTTTTTTTTAAATTTTTATAGACAAAATATGTAATAATCTTTTCATACAGATGCCATGAAAATTTAATTAAGGGTTATTATTCCTCCCTGTGGCCACCTCAGTCTTCAAGAGACTATATTCTTGTGATGAAAAAAAATGTTTTTGATGGAGTGGTTTCTTGAGCATTGCTCCCTGGGTGTTGTTAAAGGTTTGAAATTGCGGCTGGTTCTGTGTTTGGATAACAGTCAAAGAGGATGCAGAAATCAAGTTTGGGATGGAAATTTCATGAAAAAGAGGCTGATTCTGCTCTCTCTCCCACAGGGGCTGGGAGAACATCAGTGTGAGGTCTGGGATTTTCTTTTTTTTTCCTTTAAGAAAATATTTACTGGTTCTTTTCTGCATTCCTTGCACAGCCTAAACAACACAGAAGCCAAGGACAGCTGGGTTTGGATGATGAACTTTTTCGGCTTTTTTTGGTGTTGAGCTGTTAAATTGCTAATAAAAGCGGCTCTTTATTTTTTCTTAAGCCGTTTGTTTAGGATGCGTCTGAACTAGGGTGGTTTTCTCATCGGCTTCACAATTGCTCCTGCTAAAACTGTCCAAAACCCGAAGACTACCTGTGGCTGCTGCAGGCTGCGGACAGCTTTCTCTTTTCCCTTGCGCTGGGCAAAAGACGTTTCTCCCCTGGATGGCTGTTGCTTGCCGCTAGCTCCCCAGCCAGATGTTGCTCCCCCGCTGATGCGCCGGCAGCGGTGGGTTAGCGAGGGCGCGCCGTTTCTCAGAGGCCCCCAGCTCATTTTGGCAGAAGCGCTGTGGGGCTCTTGCCCGGCCGCCCCTCCGGTTGCAGATTCAGGGCAGGGAAAGGGGACGCCTGGAGCGGGGGCCGTGCGAGGCCGCTGGTGGCTGGTCATTAGCTGCTAACCTTTCCCCGGCACAGCTGTCTGCAGAGCGCCCGTCTGCTGGCCCTCGTAGCAAAAGCTGGTTGGTGGGGTCCATCTGCATCGCTTAAGCCTGGCCCTCTGGTCTTGCTCCTCAGCTCGCGAGGTGCTGCGCCTTTAAGCAGCATGATTAATAGCCGATGTCCGAGGGGGTATTTTGGACATCAGCGGCTAGAGCAAATCGATTTTAGGAGAAATCGGGAAATGGAGAGTTGGGGAAATGTTGCATTTCTACTGTCTGTTTAACACAGCCGCCAACTCAGGCGATTTTCAGTGGACCAGCCAGCTGATAGATAGCATTCGTTAATGCCTTCTGGTATCGCAGCGTTCCTGTTTCCCGTCTGTTCTTCGGAGTAGGATTTAGCAAACTGAGATCCTGAATGCCGCATGTCGCCCCGGTGATAGGGGCAGAGCGGGGCCACGCGCTCGGCTCTCCTTGGAGGAGCGTGTGGGGAGCTGGGAGCGAGGAGGGGGCAGCTGCAGGCGGAGGAGGCTGG